ACATTAGTGGGAAACGGATATGGCTTATTACCTGTTGATGATGACATGTATAGTATTCTCAACTAGAAGTATTTCATGATGGGTAAAGTCTTTTTACAAGCAAAATGAGAAATAGTGATTGACTATTTAAAAATAATTATAATAATAATAATAATGATTGGGAAAAACATAGAAAAGATATTGAATGATGAAGTGGGGAGATTAATGTCTCTGTATTGACTGACATGCATGGCATTCCCTTTTGAAAAAGCAATGTAATACACTGTAAAGTTATATGCAATCCAATGTAATATAAAGAAGATTATGATGATAATAAAAATAAATACATTTAAAAAAACAAAGAAGAGAGATAGGGCCAGCAGGTGGTATGGAGGTTAAGGCAGCAGGGTTCCACACAGTTGACTGCAAGGTTAGGGTCACAGACTGGTGGCTTGACAATCACTCTGGGTACACATGCCTGCCCAAAATCCTGAGGAGAATGAAAGAGAAGGGGTTGGGGTGTGGCTATCCACGCAGGGGAGTGATTTCTCACTTTCTCTCTTTTTCCCTGTCTCTGGGGAGTGCATGCTCACTATAGTAAAAGTTCAAAAAAAAAAAAGAAGAGTAATATAGTATTTTCATATACCTCTAGAAAGATCAAAATGTCCTAAAGTTCTAAAAGTTTGTGATTTCAATTGCTGAGTGTACTTATGTGAGTGGTCCTGGCTTATTCTATGAGTCTTGTTTTTATTTATTTATTTTTAATTCTGAAGTTTCTAAAAGGGTCCCAAACAAAAAAATTCAAAAACTCTGAAAGTTTGACTGTGACAATAATTAAGAAAATGCAGAAAGGGCACTGGTAGATTTTTAAAAACTATTTTAATACAAGATTAATAGCAATTTTCTATCCAAATCAGAAATGAAAAATCTTAACCCAAATAATATTCATTTGACAGTCACATAAAATTTTAGGTTTGATTGGTGCACACATTTATCCTGCATATATATTATGTATATGCACACAGAGACCTCACTATTATGCCATCTTAGGTGTCTTTTCATGTAAGTACCTCATTCCAAGGCAATGTCAAATATTCCAGTAAACACTCAACTTTGAATGAAGTTCAAAATGTCCCCATGCTAAGCTGAGTCTGTCTTGTACCAAACCATGATATAGCAAGTCTCCAGAATGCGTACAAATCAAAACTCTATTTGTATAAGTTGACCTAAAACTAAACACTGGCTAACGTCTCCACCAAGGAAAAACACATGGCAAATTAGTAAGTCATGGTTCCCTTTGCTCTTCTGTTGCCAAAGCTAAACTCTCTTTTTATTTTCTTTTGTTCCTCCCCCCACCCCCCTCTTCTTTTTAAATCTTAAGCTCAGGTCTGTTAATGACTGCAAGTAGATGAAAATGAGCTTGCATTTTTGCAAGTTTTACTGTAGGTAAGTAAAAACTTGCATTTGCCAACATCTCCACCTTTAATCAAGCCACCTGATGATTAGCCTTGCAAAGAGAAGTAATGAAAGAATCACAACTCAGAAATTTGCTACGTTTTAATTTTCCTTGGGGACTTTAGTTGGTGTTCAGTCTGTAGCCAAAACGTGTATGTAATGGCAAAAGAATTAAAGTAGGCTAATGTCTGCAGCAGGGAATATAAATTAAGTATTAGGATTCTGCATCCAATAACATTTTCCATGTGTTTGATTTAAAGATTGTTACTTTTAAAATTATTACTGCTTGTCGATGAGTAATACTGTTTTTCAGTGTAGACTAAATAGTGTTTTCTATCCCTTACATTTAAAGCAGGTGATACAAATTTATCATATCAGATAAATCACTGTAAGGGAGTCAGATTTCTGGTGCGAAGAATCTATGATAGTTATCATCAAAGCACCAATGTGGCCTGCCTTAAAATAACAGAAGGTTGTCATGGTTGTCCTTCAATACACAACCATGAACAAAGCTTTTATTCATAGATTTGCAATTCATTCTTCTCTGCGAAAGACTTTAGCCTTTGCTTAGCTTTTGCTGTAACACATACAAAGTATAATATACACCAATTACAGACGTGTATTTCTGTTAGAAAAATACATATTATAACTAAAGAACATGTAAATAGAGGCACTTCAATAAGCTAAGTGTTTGCAGTTATGAGCATCACCCACCAATTTCTAGTGTCTGATTTCAGTGAGCCCATCCCTCCCTACTCATAACAGAAGTTATGATGTGACTGCAGAATTTAGGGGACATCAGAGCAAATGAGGACAGATCAAGGGAAACAATGGAAGTATCATCACGAATCCCCTATCACTATGCTGAAACAAGAAAACTCAATTTGGGGGGCAAAATACTTCCTGAAATGGGGTAACTAGAGTAAACTAAATCCATTGGGGATAGGAAAAAAAATCTCATGTTACATTAGTCTGAAATCATACGACATAGTAGGATGATGAGAAAAAAACAAGTAAAACTTGAATAATAGTTAGACCACATCCATGCAGGGTGACTAATGTGGCATCATTAACTGATAGTCATTTCAGCTCTCTGCCCAGCTCATATGCATCGCTATATCTCATCAATATGAATAATATTGATCATGAAGGTGTTGAAACAAATGAAGCAGGCGTTTATATAGTATCTGTGTGTTTAGTGCGTACAGAACATGAGTTCACATTCATTCATATAATGTGTATTCATTACACATGCACAAAACCTTTTGGGGGGAGGTGGAAGCACAGGAAAAACAAGGCATCCTGATCTATTTTATAGAAGATAATGCAGAAATATTTTAAAAAGAAAGACTTGGAGTTTAAAGCCATATAAACAACTTATTACTCAAATAGTTTGAAAAATCAAGGTTGATTTAATTTGTATTGCACCTTAATTATTGGAGAAAGACAATATTGATTTCGGAACATACAATGAAAAGAGGAACATAAATGATTGGTCCTTCATGAAGATGTGTATGCAATTGGCCATAGGAAGCTGAAGTCTGGCAGTGGAATGGATGGTGTTCTAGAAGTATGCAATGCTGAATTAGATGAAGCGTTAATTCTGTAAAGATTTAAATGCAAGGATGCCACAAAGTCTCTCAGAAACCTACATTTCATATCTCATTAGGCATAAAGTAGCAATAGATGCTTGTAAATACTTTGTTTTGCAAAAGTGCTCAAATATATTTAATACTATTGTGCGGCATATGTTCTACTTAAATGTGATGACTAAATCAATAACTAATTTTAATTTTGATGAGAACAAAGATCGAAAAATACCATTTATGTGTCAATACTGTCAATGAGCTAATTAAATAGTGACTGGTATGCGATGGTGTCAAGAAACATTACTTTCTCCTACTCCAGATGCATCATAAAAACCAAGAAACACATGGATAGCCAATGGTATTCATAAAGCCCCAGTCTCTAGTTTATTTTGCTTCTCTCAGTCAGGCAGAGCATGGGGCCTACTTCTACCCTACTTGGCGGATAGATATGGCTGTGACTCTACATTGGCCTCTTGAGTTAGATTATTGATCCAAGTGCCAAGCTGGAATCCTAGACTGAAGGTGTTGAACATGAAAGCAATGTTTTTTGTGTTTTTGTTTTGTTTTGTTTTGTTTTTTTGTTTTTTGTTTTCGGTGAAGAGTATTCTTTACACAGACAGTTCCCATCACCAGGAAAGTCCTGCACACCCATGGCTCATCCCATGAGCTCAGTACCATCTGGAGCACCCAGGACAAAACACGCTCATGTGAAAAGGGTGTGCCCTGGCAAACTTTTAATAAATGGACAGTTAGATACGTAAAAATTCTCTGTCTTGATTCTTGGTGCTCACAGAAAATGGAGGAAATCCTTCTCTGAGCAGCACAAAACAAGAAGAGCTGGTTGACAAAACATTGTTACAAAGGTGTGTCAACCCTGAGCTTGGAATTAAGAAGTTAAAATCTGTGATTTATATATATATATATATATATATATATTTGTCTTGACTTTTTTGTTGTTGTTGTGAGTTATTTTATAAGAGAATGCCCTTGTGATGCAGAAACAATGGACACAAAGCAAATAGTTAAAAATGAAAGCTTATGTATGGATCTAATTTTTTATCACTTCATTGAAAGAACGCTTATTTTGGGAGGGTAATGAGCACGGGGGGCAGAAACGTCTAATTAATGTTAAACCTGTGGCAAAAGCAGAGACTGGATCTTGAAGATTATTTTTAATTGAGACTCTTGAGGAGGATGAATTGATGGGGTGTCTGTTAGTAACCAAAGATGAAGGAAAAAACGGTGTCAATTGGATACAATGGACAGACATTAAAGGAATTAAGAAAAATGGTGCCATTACTGAAATTGAAATTGGGCAGGGTGAGAGAAGAGGTGCTGAGTTGTGGTCATTTTTGCTCTTACAGTAAAGATGGAATTCTAAATTTAATACCTCCAAATCAATTCGGTATTGTGTGATTAGATGCAAGATGGTACCTCCAAGACAACAGTGTATTTTCAGTACATTTAAAAATATGTCAAGCCTTCCTCCCATAAGCATTTCGTAAACCTGATTTGTCACAGAAAAGCCTATACTGGGAGCTGACTGTTAATGCTGAATCTGAAATGTTCAAGTTCCTTTATTTTTCTCTCTTGTTTTCTTCTTGGTTAAAAATGCAGTTGTCTTGGGGTTTGGCCTGATTTTACAAGGAAAATTATTTTCTTCCTACTTTTTTTTTTTTTTTCAAATGGGAAAAAAAGACTCACAACGTGAGATTCCTTTACTTCTGCAGCATAAAAGCAAATGAAGGTAAGAAAATCTCCTGGTACGAAAGATTCGAGTAAGAATTCTCTCTAGAATAGACAAGGTCCCCACAGATAGTGAAGGGGAAGAAGAGGCAGTTCAGTCTGGCACCGGGTACTCTTTGGGAAAACAAAAAGGGAGGCAGATTGCGGTACTGCTCTCTTCTCATAGAAAACGGTAAGTTTGTGTGGCGTGGTCCATTGTCCAAGAGTGTAAGAAAAGAAGTGAGTTGGCCATTCAAATAGCTGAAATGCAGTTTTATCTGCCCGAAGACCCAGGATTATCTGCCCAGTCTCTGCAGCGCCAGGACAATGCAGGCAAAAGACCATGAGAGCAGGGAGTGGCCAAGCCGGGCTGCGGAGGAGTCCACTTCTCTCCGGTCAGGGTCAGCTGCAGGGGCCTCTGTGGTGACAAACTCAAACTCCGTGGGGCACACATCATCCATGCATCCGCTGCCACTTCCTGAGCCGCTGGATTCCTCGCCTGTTGTGGGAAGATCGAAGAAGAAGAACGTTAGACCCGCAACCGGGGCAGAGTGTGGGCCAACAACACCTGAGACCTAAGTGTGGCGGCAGGAGGGGAAATCTCGCTATCAGGGGTCCCCCTACTCACCCCAGCAACTTTATTTTTAATGGGAAGGTGATGAGCATGGACTAGTGTATAAAAATGGGTTCTTAAAACCGCTGATTAGCTAATACCCAGAGTTCTTCAACCTAAGAAACATGAGTCTCTGCCCCTATGGAAGGCCGTCACAACTATGTAGGCATAAGAGATTTATTCTTCTGGCCGATATATTACTTTCAGAAATTCCATTCTTTGCTTTTTAAAAAAATTTTTTTTTTATTTTTATGTCAGAGCCATTGTTCTCAGCAGGTATGTTTTTAAAAGAATTTTTAAAGGATATTTTTAAGGAAAACAAAGAAGAGGCCAACAAACACTGCCAGTAGGAAATTGGAGAAGCAGCGGGAGATCGCTTGTGGTAGATGTTATTAGCATTCCCAGCTGCTTTCTTCGTTGTAGGTTCTTCTCCTAGGAGTGAGGATGGACTCAGGCTCAGCCAGCCTCTGTCTTTACATCAGAAGCCACCATTTTAAGCTAAATGAACCAGGGAAGCCAGTTAGCCTTTCTGAGGCTCTGTTTCCTCACCTATAAAAATAAGAGCAACAGTATCTATTTCACAGAATTATTGTATTATGGGGAATAAGTGAACCAATATTCTTGAAAGACTGAGGAAACTGCAAGCTTTGGAATGATGGGCTGTTTCCCCTCTTGCTCAGTGATTCTAAAAGCCCTAAACTCATCCCTGCTGGCCTGAGCGAGGGAAGCAGGTTGTGCTGCTCCTGAGAGACTAGGTGATGTCTTGGGTGCAGGTACCACTCATTTAAAGCCAAGGCAATACAGGGACTCGCCCAACGTCCTCTTGGATGAACTAGACACAGCTTAGCATGTGTCTCCGCTCACCCCCCCTTTTTGAAATGGGACAACTAAATACCAGATAAGGTCACTTAAACACACTATACTAGGTTCTTAACATATTCTCTGATTTATCTTTAGTGGCCTTTACAAGGGAGAAATGCCCATTAATTAAATTCAGAGATATCAGGATTGCTGAGGGAATTGTTCTGAACACTGGTATCATGAACAAGAAGTAATATAACCTTTACAAAGATATTATTAAAGTGATTTAGAATATTAAAAATGTGGGAAGCAAATAATGACGAGAGATTCTGGCTGGGAAAAAAAGATCATGGTTCATCCTTTTTTGAAAAGAAATCACAAATGCAGGTATTTATGGAATGGGATTAGTGACTTTAAAAATGTCAAAAGCGGGAGCAGTAGTTAGTTTAATGGCTATGTTGCTGGACTCCCATGTAGTCGACCACGGTTCTAGTCCTGGACCCGGTGGCTTAAACTTATGCTGGGTGCATGTGCGTGCATGCCCAAGATCCTGAGAGGAGAATGGAGAAGGGATTGTGGCATGGCCATCCCCCTGAGGGGGTGATTTCTCACTTTCTATCTCTCTGTTTCTCTCTGTCTTTCTGGCGAGTGTATGTGCCCTATACCAAAACAAAACAAAACAAAACAAAACAAAACAAAAAAATAACCACGACCTCTCCAAAAAAAAAAGAAAAAGAAAAGTCAAAAGCGGGTCAGCTCTTGCCTGATGGTTAAAGTGGAGAGGCATTGTATGTCCCCACTTAATAAATACTGAGTGTCTGCACTCTAAAAGTAAAGTAAATGTTTGTGGAAAAATGTAAAAATAAATAAATGAAAGAAAAAAAATTAAAAAAAAGTAAATAAAAATGAATAAATAATTAAAAAAAATGTGTCTGGATTCCACATGGGCAACCACGGTTTGAAGCCTGGTCCTGGTGGTTTGAAAAACATGTATGCATACAGTACTCAAAATTCCAAAAGGAGTGCTAAATTGAGGAGAAGGTATGGTGGCATGACCATTCCCCATGGAGGGTGCTTTCCTGATTTTCCTCTCTCTCTCTCTCTCAAAAAAAAAAAAAAAAATCAAAAGCAATATGGGTGACGATGTCTATAAGATGTGATAATGGTTTGTATGACAGACACTATTGTAAAATAGAGGATCAAAGCTGATACTACTTGGGTCAGAGCTAAGGAATACCCGTAACAATCGTTGATTTTTATTTTCTTTTGAGAGGAGATGGAGCAAGAGCTCTGCCTCCTTGACATTCCGTGAGCTTGCAGATTGACATAGATATAACCTCTTTGAGTCAGAGAAGAGAGAGGATGGATAAAACCAGAGAAGTGAGGCCAAGTAATGAACAAGGATGAAACAACAAGGGCTAAAACCCTGTGTAATGTTCCCTTCTGGAGAGGAAGGGAGTGGTTTAGCTAAAAGGAAGAGAGATAGTGGACTGATTTTGAGAAATTTCACAACAATGGAGTTCATCATTGGCAATTACACTGTGTTTAAAAAATGAATTTTTGAGTTATTTAAAATAGAAGGAAGCACTAAATATTTTCTGCAGGGGAGAGCTCAGTAAGATGATGGCTAAGACCTAAATGACTTAATGTCTTCCATCTGTAACTTGCTTCTTTCTATCTCATTAATTCAAGCACACAAGCATCATCTTTTGCTTCAGCGATCAAATTACAGAATCACAGGCAACTTTGCCTGTTATGTTCAATAATTCTCTTCTTCAGAACTCTCTTTATAAGGGTATACACTTAAAACAAACTTCCTTTGTGGTTATGTATCTTGAAACTATTTAGACAAAAGCCAAATATCCTTAGTTTCATGACAATGTTAACTGAATAGTCTTTTGAAATCACTTCTTATGCTTTTGTGATCCTTAATAAAATAGTCATGTGTAGTATTATATTGATATTTTACTATTTTTCTCACTATTTCATATATATATATATGAATATATGTATATATATATTTTTAAAAAGAGACTTTTACTATAGGGCACATGCACTCACTGGAGAGACAGAAGAAGAATGACAGAAAGTGAGAAATCACTCCCAGGGGGGGATGGCCATGACACAGTCCCTTCTCCTTTCTCCTCTTGGAATTTTGGGCACACACACACACATGCACCTGGTGTGACTTTCAAGCCTTCAGTTCTGGGACTGAAACTGTGGATGGCCATGTAGGAGTCCATTGATGTAACCTTTATGCCATATACTGGTCCCCAGATAGAAATTTCTATGACTCATGTAGGTGTACAATTGGATAGAAAGGGAGATGATGCATTTGAACTCCCTCACTACCTGCCAGACTCTGTCTTGGTACTTTATATATTTTTTCAAATGAGTCTCCCAATAGCTCCTTAAGCAGAGATGCTTCCCATCCTGTGAAAGAGAAGCCTAAGACTTGAGAAGTGAATTGGTGAAGACCCCAATACATAGGTGGCCGAACAGGATACTAGCCCAGGCTTGTCTAAGCAATATGCAGAACACTTTTCTGTTGATGGTGTTGAGGAGAAGGGGACAGAGTGTGGGGCTGCACAAATGCTGATGGGGAAGAAGAATATGAAAATATCCCTTCATTGCTTTATCATGAATGGATAGATGGTTGGTGAAACTCAATTTCGGCTTGGTAGGACTACATGTAATCCCATTGAAACTATTTCTTAAGACCAGTTATGATTTCAGTAGAATCGGAACATTTTGTGGATCAGAGCTCTCTGTTCAAAGGACATTTAACAGTTTCACAGACCAGGGAAGAAAGAAACTAGATTAAAGGTACACATTGCTCTTGAAGAACAAATATAGTATAATCCTCTATAGCCATTTATTTTTAGTCTGCAAGCTACTGATATTCCCTGAGCTTTGCAGATTGACGTAGATATAACCTCTTTAGGTCAGAGAAGAGAGGGAAGCAACAAGACCAACATCAACTAATTCTTATGTATCTTGAATTATTCATTCCAACAGTCACTCTCCAGATAATACCGCATTTTATTAAATGGAGAAGACAGAATGGATAAAACTAGAGGAGTGAGGCCAAGTAATGAGGTAAAGCAACAGGCTAAAATCTTATATAATGTTCTCTTCTGGAGGGGAAGGGGAAGGTTTAGTTGAAAGGAAGAGAGAGAGTGGGATGATATTTTTTTAAGAATTATTTTATTTTACTTCATTTCTTTATTTGTTTATTTTAAATTTGACCAGAGAGAGAGAGAGAGAGAGAGAGAGAGAGAGAGAGAGAGAGAGAGAGAGAGAAAGAGAGAGAAAGCTAGCCAGGTCTGGGACTCAAACCATTGTCGGCCATGTGGGGAATCCAGTGCTTTTAACCACCACACCCTCTGCTAGCCCGAGAGTGAGATGATTTTTGTAAAGATAGTCTTACTTGTGTCCTGGAAGTTGACGTCATTGCCATTGTATGCATTCTTCAGTTTGTTGGTCATAACACGGAGAGCCATGATCTGCTGTCTGATGAAAGTGTCGGGCCGTGTGATGTCCACGTCTACCTCAGGATTGTTGATCTGGTTGGTCAGCCCATCATTCATGATCTCAGGCAAGTATCTGTGAGGCAGAGAGGAAGAGCAGAGATTCAGGTGATGTAGCAGGGACCTCAAGATTGGATTTTGTCATATTCCTGTCATCTTTAACAGGGAGCCAAATAACCAGGCAAAACTTGGACTGAGTTCCTGGACAAAAATTCCAAACAGTAAAAAACAAGAAATATAATTGTTAAGAGGAAGATGTGGCTATAATGGCTTTAGACTAATTTTTTTAAGTGACCCTGTTTCCTAGGTAGATTTTTCTACAAATAAATGGTGAATTGGAGACATACAGAAATCATTACTTAAAATGAACTCTTCTCTTCCTCCCTCCCAAATGTCAGACAGCTCAAGTCAATAGCTCAATGGTGTCCTAAATTCCCTGTTAATTTTGGTAGTAAGATCATTTAATCATATCATAATCACAATCATTGGTCATATGATCTAAAAATTTACTTTTGCATAAGGATGCTTTTTCTCAGCTGAGGAGGCTCTACCTCAGACTTTAATCAGAAGAGATTTTTGTATATAAAAAATATTTTTTGAAAATTCAAGGATTAACCAATAATTACAATAATGTTTGACATACATATTAGAGTTTATAATAGAATCTTGGGACTAATTTGGTAGATTTATCAAAATTTGATAAAACAGAAGTAAAATCTAATGGTTCTGAGTTGAATATTTCCTTTACTTGTACTAAAATGTCAAAATTGTCAGTCTTTCAACCTCAAATACCTGAGTTGTTTAGGTGATTTGTACAAGTGAAGACTAACTATCTCAGAGGCATCCTTGGAGTCCTCTCTGATTCAGTACTGTCACGATCCATCAACTTTCCAGTTCTCTTCTTCTCTTGAAACTTCTCTCAAGTGCATCTTTTGTTCTTTTTCCTGTGTCCCTCTTTGGAGTGCAGATGGCTCTAGTAGCCTCAAACTACTTCCCATCCCCTTCTTTCTTTTCTGGTGCATCCTGCACACACTGTCTGATTAATATTAATCAAATATTGCATTCATCATTTCTCTGTTTCATCGTAGCTCTTTGGCATTAAAAAAAACTTTTGAGAATAGCTGCTAGTGTCCAACAAGCAGTAATTGAGTCAGGCACTACACTAAACACTTCATACACATCTTCAAATTTAGTTCACCAGCAAATCTAAGAGACAGGCATTACTTTTATCCCTATTTTATGAAATAGAAAACTGAGGTTTAGTGAAGATAAGCAAGTGTGCAGTCACACAGCAGATAGATGGCAAAGCCCTGATGTAAGCCCTGGCAGTCTGGCTTTAGACTTCATGTTGTCCAAACACTGTCCCACTGTTCCTGGCAAGTCAGGAATGAGATTCACACTTTAAAGCCCAACAACCAAGGCCCATCTTCATCCAGTGCTACAGAGCAAATAAATGGCAAAGTCATGATGTAAGCCCAGGCGGTCTGGCTCTATTTAGACTTCACCTTGTCCAAACACTGTCCCACTGTGCCTGGCAAGTCAGGAATGAGATTCACACTTTAAAGCCCAACAACCAAAGCCCCCCTTCATCTAGTACTACTTTCTTATGCTGCAATAGTCTTTTCAAGAGCTCCTCCTTCTCTTATGGGATTTACTTCCTGTGTCCATCCTATGCTTGTTCTTCTCACAGGGTTTCCTTGTCTGTATTGCACTTTCCCATTTAAGCCCCAAATATCCTTCAAGACCCACTTTCTCCTCAAGATAGTTCCAACTCTCAGGGATTTGTCCACTCTTTTCTCAGCCTGTTAGGTTCAGCTGGGTATTTTGTGCACTGTACCAAGTCCCTGCTCTGAGCTGGGGAATGAGTTGGTGCTTAACTCTAGCCTCAGTTCTGTGCTCACCGAGACAAGCAACTGCAGGGTACTATTTACTAAAAGGGGCACATTTCTCTTTTTTATTAATAATTTCATTTTTAAAGATTTAGCATATAAGAAAGTAGAGACAATAATGTCAGGAACCCACATCCACCACCCATCTGGATGCCTTCTAATTCCTTCAAAGGTGCTATAGTTGTCTGTGTCTTGGAAGGAAACAGGGACACTCAAATGGGAACTAATAAGAGTTTAAAGAAAAGACAATAGTCGGGAGAAGGAAACACATTTGGAGGAAACAAGTACAAGGTGGTGGTATTCTCTGGGGCTGGAAATGGCAGAAGGGACCAGGCGATGCCACAGAGGAGAAGCTGTTCCCAGAAAGCACAAGAACTGGGACCAGCAGATGGTGTAGTGATTATGTCATGGGACTCCCATGTAGTGGACTGCGGTTCGAGTTCCAGACCAGCTGCTTAAAACTCACACCAGACACATGTGCATGTGTGCCCAAGATACTGAGAGGAGAATGGAGGAGAAGGGACTGTGTCATGGCCATCCCCATAGGGAGTGACTTCTCGCTTCTGTCTCTGTCTCTCTGACAAGCACATGTGCCCTAAAGCAAAAAATCTCAAAAACAAAAACAGAAAACTGAACTGCAGAATATCACCCAAGGGCCCAGCAATTCTCAAATCAAAGTCTACTGGGAGTGACTCAGGAAAGGGTACCTTGACCTCTCTAGTTCCTCCTTCTGACCTGAGGCTGCTACCTCCCATTGGCTGGACCCATCTGGAAGCTCACTTAGGGAGCCCAGATGATATAGGTTTACAGATCCTGCTCCAGAATATAGGCCAATGGGGAAGGATGAGTGGATCTCGGGGGACCAGCAGTTAGCATAATGGCTATGTTGTTGGACTCCCATGTAGTCGACTGCGGTTCGAGTTCTGGACCCAGCGGCTTAAACTCACGCCAGGCGTGTGTGTGCATGCCCAAGATCCCGAGAGGAGAATGGAGGAGAAGGGATTGCAGTGTAGGCATCCCCCTGGGGGGTGGTTTCTCATTTTCTGTCTCTCTGTCTCTCTCTGTCTTTCTGGCGAGTGCACGTGCCCTATAGCAAAAACCTCTCCAAAAAAAACCAAAAAGAGTGGATCTCAGAGAAAATCAGAACAACCAGCGTGGGAAGTTTTCAGGCTGGTGGCAGCCCTGCCTAATTCCTGTGACTGTCACTGCCTCTACTATTACTTGAAAGTTGAGAAAATATCTTTTCCTCTGTTCATCATTCCAATTCACATATTATTCTATGATATACTTATGCTTAAAATTCTTCCCCTTCATTTCAGTCATTGTCCACATTCCAGAACTAAAACTTCTAGCCATCAACCCCCAAAAGAAGAAATAGATCCACATAGAAAGACTGTGATATTTCAACCATTTTTCAAATACTGAATCTTATGCATGATGTATTTATGAATGAATTGGTTTACCCACTTTAAATCAGAGGCCCCCCTGAATAAGTTTCATGTCTTCATCCATATCTTGAACTGAATTGACTTCACAATGTTCACTAAATAATGAATAATATACCACACAGAGTATATTGCAAATTTTTTTCATGAAGCTTCACAGAATTTATTGCCCTAAAAAAATCCAATCAGAAAATTTAAAAAGTCATAGAACTAAGATCTATTTTCACAGTAAAGCATAATTTCTGTTCTGTCTTTAAATATATCTGGTATGTAAAAAATTCTTGCTTGGTTCTGAGATTGTTTTCCTGATATAACTTCTAAAATATGACATTGGACTGGCAATTATTGGCATGAATTATATGTGCTGGGCTCCACGAGCTCTAGCTAATTATTATAGCCCAAGAGGATAAACAATGGAAAGCACAGACCATCCCCTGCAGACACAGAGTTGAGAAGAGCTAAAAGGTGATGGTCGATTCTGGTGTGGCTCCTCCACACTTTAAAAAATGATTCCTGCAGCTGTACCTATGCTGAGTCAGAGACAGGCTTTGTTTCTTTCAAACACTGCACACTGATGACTAGCTGAGACTCATTTATCAGAAGCTCTCTGCAACAGCTTACATGGGAATGCTACCCCTGGGAGTCTGAACATCCAGGAACAATGAGCAACTGCCAAGAAACCCAGTCTCTGACTGTGCCTGCTGATGCTCAGCCACTTACAGTAAAAACAAGGAACCAAGGACCAGGTCCTAAGAACCTTTTCTCCCTCCTGTGTATTCAAAGAATGACTTTAGAGACCATGTGGAAACTTAAACTTAAAACATAGTTGAAAAAGGGAACCAGCAGTTAGCGTAATGGCTATGTCGCTGGACTCCCACGTAGTCGACCGCAGTTCGCATCCCGGACCCGGTGGCTTAAAATTCACGCCGGGCGCGTGTGCGTACATGCCCAAGATCCCGAGAGGAGAATGGAGGAGAAGGGATTGCGGCGTGACCATTCCCCCCCCCCCCGGGGGGGGGATTTCTCCATTTCTATTTCTCTGTCTCTCTCTGTCTATCTGGCAAGCACGCACGCCCTGTAGCAAAAACCTCCCCCAAAATAAAAGAACTATGGAGTATGAGCAAAAATTTTTTGGTATTAAATAAATGTTAGCGAGGAAATGTAAAATTAATAAATTAATTAAAAATATAATTCACTGGTTAAAGTATTGAGGAAAAAAGTGTAAAGTGTAGGTAAAAAGCCGTAAAACAGGCAAGGCAAGAGATGACAGTTTGGAGGTTGAAGGTGTGTCAGTGAATGTGGAGAAATGAGTATGGAGTTGAGAGGTATTTCGAGTTAAAAATTCGTAGATGATGGTTTGGATGTGTGAACTGAAGGATGCTTGCCAGTTTTTCAGTTTTCTCTATGTCTCTCTCTGTCTGTCTGGCGAGCGCATGCGCCCTGTAGTGAAAATCTCTCCCAAAAAAACCAAACCAAAACACAGTTGAAAAAGAAGATGGTCATTTTGCCACTCTGGAGGAAGAAGCTGTGGCTAAGTATAGCCATCTGTTGTGCAGCTTGGAAGGTGTATGAAGCCCATATATTTGTTGCCTCTCATGTTTAGTCTCTTTATATGACATTCCCGTCCTGTGAGAGTAGACACTTTTCTGAGCCCACTCTGCTCTTCCTGCTGGAAGATGTTGCATAGCTCTTTGACATGACAGCATTCTATTTCTGTATCGTCAGATCTCTGGGAAATATAG